AAAAGATAAATAAGGTGTTTGCAGCTGTGCTAGGAAGTGGTAGAGCCAGGGACGCCTGACTGGAGCACCCCCTCTATTGTTTAGCATTGTTAAAAATTAATTAATTTATTTTTGTGGTACAGAGATTGAACCCGGGGCCTTCAAACTAGGCTGCATCCCCAGCATTTAAAAAAAGTATTTGTATTTGAGCTAGGGTCTTGCTAAGTTACTAACTTGCCCAGGCTGGCTCAAACTTGAAACCCTCCTTCCTTAGCCTCCCAGAGTACTAGGATTATAAGCTTGTGCTATGCTGGCTGGCTGAAAACTTTGCTTTGTTTTCTTGTTATAAGAACAATGTGGGGCTGAGGATGGAGGTCAATGGCTGTGCCTGCCTAGCAAGTGCAAGGTCCTGAGTTCTATTCTAGGTACTGGAGAAAAAAAAGAACAGTGTGATGGGCACCCCTCGGCCCCTGGACCAGGTACACTGTCTCCGCCCCTCTGCCACTCCTGTGCCCTGTCTCCCTCCATAGCCCGCACTTCTGTTTAGCTGCAGCATCTGAAGTCCACTGTGACACTGCACTCCTAGTACTTGGACGTGGGTCTAACGGCCACACTGCCCAGGGCACAGCCCGTACTCCAGTGTCCTCAGTGGTCCCTCAGCCGTCCTTCTGAGACAGTTCGTTCGACCCAGACCCCAGCTGAGGTTTGCAAAGTGCCTCTGGCTACTGGAGATGCAGGGCTCTCCCAGGGCGGCAGGATGCCCGTCCCCTGCACTTTCCTTCGGTGCCCTGCTCCTCTGTGTGCACCTGAAGTTCCACCTCCCACCAGCAGGACCTTTACCCTGCATGCTGAGCACAGAGCCCTGGTGCAGCCCTTGCCGCCAGCGGTGTTGGCTCTGAGCTTGGGCACACGATCTGACTCTAGCCTCACAGCCACCACCTTGCAGGAGAAGAAACTGAGGCAGGGAAGGAGCAGTGACTTCCCCAGGCACACAGAAGTTACAGCAAACCTGGGTGTAAACCCACAGCCAGAGTCTGGCCAAGGTCAGCAAATTGTTTAGGCAAAGGGCTGGCAGCTCACATCTTAGCTTTCCCGACCTTTCTGTCTCTGTCTCAACTCCTCATGTGAGCCGCTGAGGCCCAAAGCAGCCCATGGACAGCAAGCAGAAGGCTGATGGGGTGTGCACGCTCCAGCCAGCCAGCTATTGGAGCAGTCATCTGGCCGGCTTCGGCCTGGGGCCAGCAATCCCTGCCCATTCACTCTGCAGGCTCCCTGCTCAGCCTCGGACGGTGGCCATGAGGGCAGCCGGCTTTGTGCCCTCAGCACACCCCAGATGCCGCTGTCTGCACCCTGGTGGGCACACGGAGGTCACGGGGAACAGAATCTGCACAGTTGGGGGGACAGAGGGGGTCCCATAGCCAGGGCACCTGGGGAGCTTCGACTGCGGGAGAAGACACAGCCCCTCTGGACCAGAGGTTTCCGGGAAGGCGTGCAGGTTCAGGGTTGTCTTCAGAAGTTGCTTTAAAGTACATCACATTGCACAATGCTCTGGGGTGAGCGCAGTGCCAGTGCTGCTTTGCACACCCAGTCATGGGTTAAGGGAGTGGGCACTGCTGTCAGCACCGATAGGAAAACTGTGAGCAGGAGGCTGACGGCAGGTGACAACCACCCCAGACAAGCAGGAGCTGGTCACTCGAGCTCACAGTAACAATCAAAACTGCATTGGGTGCTTTGCTAAAAAGCGTTTGCCTAAAGGAGCAAGCGGAGAGGAAGTTACAGCATCTTGAGCATCTAGGAGGACACAGGAGACATTGCTTTGCTTGTCTTAAAATTCTTGCTTCCCTTTAAAGATCTAGAAACTAGAAATGGAATATGGCAGTGTAATCCACGGCAAACATTCCAACGGTGTTCTGGTCAGTAACTTGTGTCTGGGAAAAGACCCATGCTGAAGACAGCTGAGGAAGTTTGCATTCATGGGCCTAGGCTCAGTGCTTATGGCCTGCTTTGACCTTTTCTCCTTTTACGATTCTTCACTTTATCATTTTATTTTATTTATTTTGTTTTAGTTTTGTTTTGTTGAGATGGAATCTATAGTTCAGGCTGGCCTTGAACTGACTACGTAGCCCAGAAATCCTCCTGCCTCAGTCTCCTGAGTGCTGGGATTACAGGCGTGTCTCACCACACTCAGTTTATCGTTTTAAATTAATCAACTAATTCTGCATCTTCATGGAGTCAGCCAGAAGCATGTCTGTGCTTTTCAGTTTGCCCTCAGGTAACCCAGTCTGCTGCTGTCACGTGACAGATGAGGATGCCTTTGACCTTGGGCCCAGGGAGTCAGAGGGCTAAATGAGGGTCTCTCCTCTGCTTCCCTTAAGAGGGGTCCCACGGGGTCTCAGGAATGCTGAGGCTGTGGAGCCCTGGTCCCCAAGGGTGCCCACACTCTGGCTCTGGCCTCTGTTCCTGCAGAAGGACTTGCAGGCCTGACAAGGGCCTGGAAAGGGGGCGACAGTCCTGAGTCTGGGTAACCAGTGCAGCCCGAGAGCCTGGGAGTGGGAGACAAGGTGTGACGAGGAGGAGGCGCCCTCGCTGGCTTTGGAGACGGGAGAGAGAGGGGCCAAGAAGAGCACAGGCCACCGCCAGCCCCGAGAGAGAGGACCGCAGTCCCCGGGAGCGCCCAGAAAGGACGTGGCTTGCTGACCCTTGACTTTAGCCCGGTGAGAGCCACGAGCTTCTGACGTGTACCACTGGATAATAACTAAGCCATGTTGTACCAGCCTCCAGATGCGTGGTAGCTCATGACAGCAGCAGTAGAAATGAATACAGATGCAACGGTGACAGCCCCTTCCCTTTCCAGAAGGTTGCGGCCCACAGCAGAGGATGTCATAGAGAAGACTCTAGAAGTGCTGGCCGTGGAGACAGACGGAGGCCTCTGAAGCTCTTGGGAGAAGGTGACTGAGTTATTACGGCAGCGCACCGGAAACCCCCCGGAGCCGGGAGCAGCCCGAGCACCTTCCGAGCAGAGGCGGAGGCTCTGAGGGAGCCACTCTTCCTCTCCAGGAGGGCACCCAGGTCTGCAGGGAACGGGACAGGGAGGCGGGGAGGGGACAGGCAGGGGACAGACCGCACATTCTCTCACCGCTCACCTCATTCCCTCAGCACCAACAGAAAATGTCCCCGCACCCCCTGTGTGCGCCAGGCTTTAAGCCTGGGGCAACGGAGACAGCGCGGGCGGGTCTCTGCGCCCTGGTGCTCAGGCTGGGGCAAGGGAGAGCAGTGAGTGAGTGAGCCAGCAAGCAAACAAATGCGCAAGGGAGTTGCTGGTTTCCGCTTGGGTTTCCAGAGAGCTTGGAGATGCTGAGTGGAGACCCGAGGCGGCGACAGAGGAGAGCAGAGCGGGGAGCAGAGTGAGGAAACCCTGATCAGCCAGAGCGGGGGAGCCGGCCAGGGCGGGCGGAGGAGACAGCGTGGTGCGGAGCCACAAGCTCTGCATGGAGGACGGCGGGCGGGCAAGCGAGGGGAGGAGGGCGCAGCAGGCCTCTCACAGCGGAGTGGGGCCTGGCCTCCCCTGTGCTCGGGAAACGCAAACAGACTTCCCACACAGGCACGGAGTTCAGGCTAGCTAAGGACTCGGGTGCAGGCAGGGCTCAGAAAAAGCGAATGCTGGCAGGGAGTCTAGGGCTTTGTGGACCTAACTCTCTCCCTTCCTTCTCAACACGATTAGGCATCTGCTATTTTGGTCTCTTATGGATGGGGAAACTGAGGCATGGCACAGTTGAATAGCTTGTCTAAGGCCACGCCTGAGCTTCCAGATCAGTGATGGCGAAACTTTAGAGCTTTTGGTGGTAACAAACAGCCCGCTGCTGCACGAGGCCAGGGGTTCCCACCACTGTCCTAGGTGCTGGGTTCTTCTGGCTCCTGGCTGCTGCTCAGTCGCATCTGCCACTTGCCAGGTATCTGGAGGCTTCAGCACATCTTGGCAGCCACAGTTCTCTCACTCATGAGCACACTCACTTCCTACTTTGGCCTAAGTTATACTTTTAGCCTGGGTCACTGGTTCTCAACAGGGAGCCGTCTGTCCCCAGGACCTCTGTTGTCACAGCTGAGGGGGCCGAGCTACTTGCATCTCGTGGCCAGGTCTGCCCTAAAGAACAGCCCCCCATCGGGCGGTCCCAGGAGCAAAGGATTTCCCAGCCCACGTGCCCAGGCTGAGGACCGGTGGTGAAGGTGACCCCTGGAGGATGTCACACATGCGAATGGTGACAACAGGACAGCTTGAGCAGCCACCCAGTGGGTAGATGTTTATGGAGTGCCAAGGGCTGTGGGCCTGCCAGGAAGCAGATGTGTCCTGACTTCCTGTGACATCCTCTAGTTTGAGGGATGGGGGAGTTCAAGGCCAGCCTGGACCACATAATGAGACCCTGTCTCAAAAAACCAATTCCCCCCAAAACAACCCCCATCCCCAAGAAACAAGACAGTCACCTGCTCAGGGTCACAAAGGGCTACCACTCTGCCAAGGAGCACCGTGATCATTTGTGGGAAATGGAGGACTTGGAGACCATAATGTGAAGTAAAGCAAATCAGATGCAGCTTAAATATCACATGGTTCCTCTTATATGAGAACCCAAAGTATAAATAAATTGAAGGCAAAATAAAAGATAGAGGATAGGAAACAAGGAGAGAGATCTTTTTCAAAGGGGAAGGGGACCACGGAAGGAGGGGGAGGAAAGGGAGGGAAGAGAAGCAGGCAGAGTTGAGATGTGTGTGGACCCCAGCTCCCCAGGAGGAATGTGATCATCATGTGTTTCAGACACTTGCTAATAGACATTTAAAAAAATTAAAACCAAAATGCAACAGAGGCCGAGGTGCCCTGGTGTGCAGTGACCCAGGGGGGAATTGGGCGGCCTGGGTGGGGCCTCCTGTTTTCTGAGCACGCGGAGTGATGCCCTTTGCTTGCCGGGCTCCTCTTCCCCAGGACCGGAGTCTGTGAGCTGGGACGGGTGGTGCTGAAGCCGGGGACGGCAATGTGGCCTCCCGTGCTGCTCTCCCTGCTAGGCTACCTCGTGGTTTCCAGTGGCGCCTGCATCCTGGGGCACTGCCCGTGGCTCGACTGCTCCACAAGGGGGGCCTGGAGTACTTCAGGGCTACAGCCCCGCCGACTGGGAGTGCCCAGCCCCCGCTACCCCTTGGGTGCCCTCTCCCATTCTCGTGGCTGCCTCACACTCCCCTTCTCCTAGGGGTGTGCCTGGCTTACTTCGAGAGCAAGTTCAACCCCTTGGCGGTGTACGAGAATGCGCAGGACTTTGGCTTCTTCCAGATCCAAGACCGCAAGTGGTGTGCGCCGGGCAGGAACCTCTGCCATGTGGCCTGCTCAGGTGAGGGGCTTTCACTGCACGCAGGTGCTGGGTATGGCCTTCCCGGGGGCTGGAGTGCTCGGGTCTGGGGGAGCAAGAGGAGGCTGTGTCCATGGCAGGTCCCCGGAGGCTGAGCAGGTTTGGGGTGACAGAGACCCCCATCCAGAGCACAGAGCAGGGGCCCAGGTGAGAGGCTCTGCAGGCCCTAAGCCCCTCAGAGCTGGAAGAGATGAGGCAGGGAGAGGTCTCAGTGGGTCTGCTGTCACCCACTTGCCACTGCTCTGTTCCTCAGGGGACAGATGCTGCCACTGTGAAAGGCAAGGGGGTCTCTGGAGCACACAGGAGCTGTTACCAAGGGGAGCTCCCTGCCACTTGCAGGTGCCCAGCCCCTGTGGCAGGCAGAGGTGCTGCCCAGAATTTCCTCTCCATACGCATTTATCGGGCACCCCCTAATTGCAGACCCATGGCGTTGCTATCTGCCAGGTGCCCTCCTGAGCCCTCCACCTAATATTCACAGTGACCCCGGGCTGGGGATTTAGCTCAGTGGTTCTGGTGCCTGCCTCGCAAGCGCAAGGTCCCGAGTTCGATCCCCAGTACCAAAAAAAAACAACACACACACAGTGACCCCAAGAGCTGGGCACTGTTATTACACCTTTTCTCTAAATGGGGAAACTGAGGCCCGGGGAGACTAAGCACATGCCATGGCCCTCAGCTGGCGAGCAGGGGAGCTGCGCAGGAACCCTGCAGTGCAGCCCCTCCCAAGTCCATCCCGGGAGGCCAGAGCCAGCCAGGCGCCTGACACCTGAGCTGTCCCCCGTGAAGGGGCCACACCTCCAGGGGCGTGGGGCCCACCTGGGAAGCCTCTGTCGCCCTGTTCAGCTCCCAGACTGGGTGTTCAGGAGGCAGTGAGGGCTGAGGCAAAGCTGGCAGCCTCTTGAGTGGTGTGTGGTGAGCCCGCTGTGTGTGGACCCCGCGGTCGGCTTTGGGGCTCTAGGGTCCCAGGGAAGCCGGGTCTGTGGTGCGGAAGGAGGTGGTGGGCACCTGCTGCTCTCCCTGTGGGAAGTCCCTTCCTAACCCTCCTGTCTATGCGGCGGGGACTCCGTGAACCCTGCCCAGGGGCACTGCAGTGCAACAGCACGTGCAGCGGCTTGAAGGCCCGTGGTGAGTGGCAGCCAGTGGGGACAGGCATGCGGAAAGCATGGTTTAATTACTGTGATGGGTGTGTCGTGTCACCCAGCTTCTCAGCAGTGGAGGCAGAGAGAGACACGGCAGACCCGCAATTTGGATCTCATGAGAAGTGTGGGTGTGTGGCACCCCGGGCCCTCACACACCGCTCCCGGAGCCTGGCACCGTCTCCTGTGACCCGGCCCTCTTCCCGGCCCGCTCCTGTGTCACCGCCAGGCTGAACGTCCGTGCGAGCAGCTGTACCCCGTGGGTCTCGCTGTGCCGGAGGCGTCTGTGGCCCTGGCTCCGCCCAGGCTCTGCAGGTGTCGGGGTTGCCAACGAGTCTCCACCATGGGTCACCCAGTGTGGGGCAAATGGTCCTAACACACGAGTATTTCAATGGAGAGATTATTAAGAGAAATACAAGAAAAAACTCCATGGATTTGGTAAAAAGATGACCTCGTCCTGCTGCCTGAGAAAAGTCTAGAGGTGGATTTATTCTTGGAATTACGTGGAAGTGGCCCAGAGCGAGCCCTCGGCGCCTTCGAGGTCAATCTCAGCTGTTATGGGATGGCGTGGAATCACCTGCTTCATTTTCCCCACAGATTCACTGAATCTTAATTTAAAGGACACAATCAGATGTGCCAGGAAAATTGTGCAGGGAAAGACGGGGTGCGAGCCTGGTGACTGGGGCCTCTCCGCTTGCTGGCGTTGGTGACGGCCACGCGGTACGTTGGCCTTGACCTTGGCCATCTGGGGTGCAGATCTCAGCCCGTGAGGGCGCCTCCTCACCCGGGTGAGCGGCAGAGCACTCGCGTCCTGCAGCCCGACCACAGCGGGAGGAAGCAACTGCCACTCGCGTTGCCTCGAGCTGCGGAGTTCTGTGATGAACATCTTTAAAGTCAGCTGGTGCATATCTGCGACCGTTCTTCCGTATCACTTCCTACAAGGCTTTTGAGTTCTTTTGAGGTTCTTGGTACATATTGTGAAATGACTCCCCTGTAAGATCCTAACAATTTATCGGTCTCTAAAGAGTTTAGTAACACGCCTTTTACTCTGCACTCACCAGTCAAAAAGACTTTGTCATTTGAAAGGTGAATAATAATTTTATTATATCTTTTTTTGCCTATTATGATATCTCATGAGCGTGTTTTCTCCTATGTTGGTTATATTGCTATTAATCTGTGATTTTTCCCCTGTCCTTTCCTAGTTTTTAAATTTAAGTCATCGTAATTGTTGGAAAGGCTCTTTACATGGTTGGTATATTAACCATTTGTTGTGTAATTGCTGCCAAAAATAACTGCCTAATTCCCTCTTAAGCCACATATTTGCAGAGGAAACTTTCTAAGAAATGCAAGTGATTGGGCCTGTGTCTGATTCTTTTACTCAGTATTATACTTATTCACACTGCTGTGTTTACATGAATTCATTCATTCTCGTTGCTGTGTGGGCCCACTGCGTGGATCCCCATTACATCTAGTGATTTATCCATGTTTCTGTTGGTCAGCATCTGGGTAGTTTCTATTCTTTGGTGCTGCTGTGAACACTTTCTCTTGTGTTTGATGAATCTATAAATTGATTTCCATTGGTTATATCAAAGGATAAAAGTGCTGATTATTGGAGGCACTTTTTTGGATTTGATATATTGTGCCAAACAGTTTTCTAGATTTTGTTTACCACTTTACACTCCCACAAATAATTATGGATTTTAGTTGCTCTATCTACTCACCAGTATTTGGCATGTCCTAGTTTATTCTCACGACTGTGTAGTCATACTGCTTTATGGTTTCATTTTCCATCCCCCAGTTACTAATGAAGTTTGGTGCCTTTTCAAATGTTCACAGGCATTTAGATATCTTTTATGTGTGTGTGAAGTACCTGTTCAAGTATTCTTGTCTGTTCCATAGCTATGAGGGGCCAGGAGACCCCCTGCTCTGGAGGACAGGGGAGTTTGCCCAACTGAGGGACGGGAGGATTCCTGTGGCTCCCAGCTGGCCTGATGCTCCATGGGGACAGGGGCTGAGGCTGGGTGCAAATAAGGGCAGTAACTTTTGGGCCACCAGGTGGAAGGGTCAAAGGATCTCAGCCGAGCTGGCTGGGCAGGGTTGAGGAGCTGAAAGGGATTCTGGAAACCCAGCAGAGAGGGTGCCTGGAGGGAGCAACCGGCCTGGCCTGGGACAGTGCTGAGGACACAGCGTGATGCTCTGTCCGAAGCTTGCTTCAGGAGAGCTGAGGGTGCTCAGGATGCAGGGCTGGGGAGACGTTGTGGTCACGTGGCTTCCCATGTGAGCTGGGGTGGCACTCATGCCTGGGCGTGGACTGAGCCTCCAGGAACATGCCTACAGCAGGCACCGCAGGCCCCGGGCACTCTGGGTCCTGGGGGTGGGACACACGGCTAGGCCTGGCCTCTGGCTTTCCGGTGCCCCTCCTGACCCCTCTCTGGTCTCCCCCAAAGGCCCAGCTGGTCCCTGTACTGCCGATTCTCTGACTCCCTGGAGCGGTGGCTGGACGGCTGCAAGCTGTAGCTGCTGAGTGCCCCGCACGCTTGCCAACACATCCAGGACTCTCGCCCTGCTGTCACCTTGCTGCCTGACAGCTCCCGGCAGAGAACCACAGCAGCTTGCTTCTCTAGAGACGCAGGATGTGAAATACACCTCATTCATCCCTAGCCTGGGCCCAGTCTCTGCCATACATCACTGCAGTCTCCGCTGGTCACCATGGTGACTCCTCACGCCTCTGCTCACAGACAGGACTCGAAGGAGGGGATGTCTAGGAATGAGTGGTCAGTGCAAAACAGGGACAGGAAAGAGAGGCACTGGGGAAACAGTCCCAGCAGGAGGCTGAGGCGAGCAGGCCCACTGTGAGAGTTCTGTGTTTTCAAACCCTTCAAAAGGCTATGATAGCCGCTTCCATGGTTGCCCCTTGTAGAGACTTCAGGTCTTTAAAGTTACACAAACATACGTAGGTAAAAATGGAGACTCAGATAGTGTTGTAAAGAGGGGAATCAGAAATAACCACCCGCCTATGGAAACAGAAGTTTTCATTGTTGTCTGTAGCCCAAGTTTAGAGGCCCTGGCTTAGGTTAGGGTTCAACTTTTCATGTGTCCTTCTCTCCTTCGGGGGGTGTGTGTGCGCACGCGCATGCTTCACACATGCACTTGTTCCCCTTAAAGCCTGGACTACTACTAAATACATAGTTTTCTATCTTGCTTTTTACTTAATATTTTGTGGTCTAATAGTTCCTGGTCAACCACAGGGAGCCAGCACCATCTTTAATGACTATATCGTATTCCACCACACAGGCAAACTATGATGCCTACACTCTATGTGCTGTTCTTTTCAATCTGGAGGTAAACCAGTGAGGTGAGCAGGGGCCACCATCATGGAAGACAGGACCCACTGCAAATCTGCCTCCTTCTGGTTGGCATCTTGGTTGCTTTCAGAAGCGACAAGAGGTGGCCGGAAGTTAGAATCTCAGGGGTAGAACTGTTATGCAAGTTCTCCAATGATCTATCAACTTTCACAGCTCAGTGTGGGTTTCCCTCCTCTCCAGAGGAAAGGGTGTTTGGTGTTTCCCAATGACATGGTGCTGCAGAGGATGTAATATTGATCACACCCAAGGCAGGCTGTGAAGAGTTAACCCCATGACTGGCTTGTTTATAGGAGTGAGCCTCGCCAAGGCCTACGTGCCAAGGTCAGAGTAACTCGCACCCAAATTCCGTTCCCACAACTAAAACCTTTAGACTAGAAGGACAATGTTCTAATTACAGTCATATATTTTGTCTATTCTGTCTCTGATTCAAGAATGCTTTGTCTTGTCCTTTATGAGCCTTGTTTACCTTAATTTCCATAGAACCTGCACGTGGCTCACCTTCACCCCAATTGATTGCCAATAAAAGTCAGTGCCTGGGACTGGCCAGGGCCTTTGTTGGTTGCACCAGCGTTGGTCTTCCTGGTCCCTGCTTTCTCTCCTGGTTCTGTCTTCCAGTTTTATCTCTCAGGCCTGCGTTGCAGACTGGGCAGGCGACTGGAATGTGACCGCGGGGGGTCTCCAGTACCATTAACAGGGTTCTTGTTCTTATTCTATTACCAGCAGCCACTGTATTAACTCCAGAATACTGCAAGAATCTTCACATGCTCTGTTTCCAAGCTTTGCAAGATAGATGTGAATGATGCCCAGGCTCCAGGTGGGGAAACTGAGGCTTGGACAGGGCACATAACCCAGCTCTTCTGGAGTCTGCTAAGTTATGGAACTGGAGTTGGAATCTCTCATGTATTCCAATCCTGGGGCTGGATCTGTCTTCGTTCCTCACCCCACCCACTAGCTGGAAAGTGGAGTCTGCAGCTCTTTAGTTAAGATGCTGCTGGGAAGAGGTATTAAGGAAATAGTTCAGGCGATGGGTCCTCATCGTTGTGCCTAGTTCCAGGGCTGGGAAACTGAGGGGACTTTCTGCAGCAGCTGTGGAAGTCCTCTTTTGTAAGTGTCTTTCCCAGGTGTGATGAAAAATAATGGTGACTGCTGTTCCTGAGCACCATCCAATGGAAAGGCAGCCAGTGAAAACACGACGCTGGGTCCTTATCCACCCTATTCACTGGGTCTGGCACCATATGACACTTGACTCTTCCCCAAAGTCAAAATGAACATGAAAGCTCAATGTTTTGAATGGATTCAGGACATCGCGGCAGCCAGGACAGCGCAACTAAAGGCACTCAGGAAAGAGGACTCCAGAGCTGCTGCAGAAAATGTCCAGGACATGGGATGAGTGAGCTCAAAGCCAGGGAGAGGATTTGAGGGGGATTTGGGGCAATGCGTTCTTCACTGTAATTCACTTTTGACGTCTACACCTCACCGTGTTTTTGATCAGGGGCCCCCGGGCACCATGCTGTGATCTCCCTCCAGGCTCCCGGAATCTGCTGCTGGTGAAACCGGCAGCAGAGCTAACGGAGCGAAATCCAGCCTGCTCTGGGGTTTTCCCTGGCAGCTGTGGTGAAGGACTCAGAAAGCCCCTGCCACTGCCAGGAGGCCCGCAGGAAAATGCTGGCAGCGCCCCAGCTGGAGGAGGAGGAGGCGGCCAGCGGGCAGGGCGTGGTCTCCCGCACAGCACACCTTCCGTCCGGGGAGAAGCCAGTTACTGCCCGGCCCCGGGCTGCGAAGCCTCTGGGAGTGCTGGCGTGGTGACGCGGACTGCGTCCAGTCCTTGTCTGCACCCAGGGAGGACGCGGGATGGACCGGCGTTTTGACAAGGGCCTGGGGAGTGAGGGCTCCTGCGGGTGGGCGGCTCTGGGGACGGCTCAGCCAGTGCTGAGGTCTTTTGCTGGCGAGGGCTCCCGTCCAGGTCCCCGGTCGCCTCCTCTCCCGTGCTGCGGACTTGGTGTTGAGGCCTGCGGGTGCCTCTGAGCCGGAAGAGCCTGGCTCCCGAGCGATCCCCGGGCCTGGTGCAGGAGCTAGGGCTGAATCACCAGCCAGCTGGGCGCCTGGGCTGCCTCTGTCGGGCTGCCAGCCTGTGCGTGAGTGTGAGCGTGAGTCGGGTGAGCGCGCGTGTGTGAGCACACCCAGGTGCCGCTCTTCCTGCTGCTGTTGCTGTCCGATGCCATTTGCAATTTTAGAGCTGGGGTAGACCCTGCGGTGGCCGTGTCTGACCCAGAGTCCGACCCGGGGCCAGGGGAGCAGCTCTGCTTGCCCAGCGCCCATGCAGGTGGCTGAGGGGATTTGGACCCCCTGCGCATGCCCACCGCCCAGCGGCTCCTGCCTGCTTCTCTGGCAGCCGGGAGGGAGAGGGGCGCCCTCTTCCTGGGCGACTCGTGGTCAGGAGGTGGAAGGACAGGCGGGCCCAGTCTTTGGGAGGACCTGGCCGGGAGGGCGTCGGAGTTGCCGAGGGTCTGAGGCAGTTCCCGGCGGAGCTGGGGAAGCGGGACGAGGAGCTGGAATGTTTTTCTCCATTTTCCAGTCATTCTTGGCCAAGTCTTCCCCACCCTGTGCCAAGGAGATCAGTGGAAGGGAGACAGTGAGGGGTCAAGGGAGCAGGGGCTGCCCCACCTGTGTCCGAAGGGATCTCATGAGGGCTGCGCGTCCCCTCCGGGAGAAGCTGGGCCCTGGCCAGGCAGGCAGGGCCTTCCCCAGCGCTCCTCGTTTTCATAGCTGCAAGAATACGTCCTATGTTCCAGCGAGGCCCATGCCAGGTGGTTTGCATAAAGGGCCCCAGTAAATCCCGAAGGCCGATCTTCAAAAGCAGGCATCTCCCACCACTGTGGAAATCAGTGTGGAGATTCCTCAAAGAACTAGGGTTAGAGGTCCCATTTGATCCCGCTATTCCCCTGCTGGATATCTTCCCCAAAGAGTCACACCACAGTGTTATATGTGCACCCATGTTCATAGCGGCACAGTTTGTAATAGCTGAAACTTGGAAACAGCCCAAATGCCCATCAGCTGGAGACTGGATCAAGAAAATGTGGTTTTTTAAGTAATATGAAGTGCTACTCAGCCATCAAAAATGAGAAATTAGAGACATTTATAGCTAAATGGATGCACATTGAGGCGATACTCTTAAGTGAAATAAATAGGACACACATGTAAATACCGAATAGTTTCTCTAGTGTGAGAAACTGAAAGTGTAAATAAGGACTAAAAGGTATAGTAGATAATGTGAAATAGGAAGAAAAGGGGCAAAGGGGAGGGGGAAGTGGGAGGGTTAGGGGAAAGGATAGAAGGGAATGGGATTAATATGAGAAAATGAAAACATGGAAACAAAGTCTTTCTAAATAGGGAGGGATGAAGGGGTTGAAGGCAGGGCAGGGGAAGGGGGAAAAAATAAGAACCAAGAGAGGTTATGTAAAGGTGCAAATTTCCAAAGATGAATGTCATTATATTGTATACCTAAAATGTACCAATAAAAGGATATACAAAACAAAAAACAAAAACAACAAATGATTCAGATAAAAATGGGCAAATGCATTGAACAAGTTTTTTTGGGTTTTTTTTGGTACCAGGGATTGAGCTCAGGTCTTTGAGCTTGCGTAGCAGGCGGCGAAATCACTGAGCTAAATCCCCGGCCCTGAACAAGTATTTTTTAAAAGAGAATATAAATGGGCTACAGGTATATAAAAATGTAAATCTCAACTATCACTAAGAAAATATAAATCAAAACCACAATTAAATATTATCTCACCTGAGTAAGAATGGCTGTTACCAAAAAGACATGAAGTTACAAACGCTGTCAAGGGTAGGGAGCAAGGGGAACTCATGCATTTCTGGAAATGTATTGCTGAAAATATGAGAAATATTACAGAGATTTCTTAAAAATCTAGAACTAGGACGTGACATAGTAACCCCACTGCTGGGTAAATACACAAGAGAGTACAAAGAAGAGACACTTGCATACACTTGTTTATTTCAGCACTGTCCGAGACATGGAATCAAATCGTGCACCCATTGTTGAATGAATGGATAAAGAAAACAAGGTGCATACACGATGGAATAATACTATTCAGATATGAAAAATAATGAAATTCCATAATTTGCACCAAC